CAGTATTGCTGATTCTTGTACTAGTTAGATATGTGTACACCATGACACCTTGAAAAATGGAGGACACTTTGTATGAAGGTGAAAAATAACGACGCGCGGCACAGTCACGATACGGAATTGACGTTATTTCTTGAACCAATCGCAACTCGCAAAATTTACTGCTCGTCCAATCAGAACGATCAGTCACGAAACGTTACGGTCACGACATGGTGAGCTCTTTACAATTATATTAAAATGCTGTATTGCAAATGCTCTACAATATATGAAATTTATTGTTTTGCTCTTAAAGTAAACAAAGCGATAGGGTTTACTAGCAGCATTATAAAAAAATTGTAAACTCATTGAAATTGTTCTTTTCTTTACATTCTCAGCCTTATATGAATATACACGRTCAATTAGTAAGGCCAGGTTCCCCAGGGCGTGAACGGGCCGTCAACGCCTATGGAACTGAACGACGTGAACCAATCTACGCGAATGATGCGCCCCGGTTGGTCGCACCCGAACCCGAAGTACCTGTCAATCAACGTAGAAATCGAGCTCCATCCGCTGACAGCAGCGAAACAGATCACAAACCTGGTTACGTCAGTAGTGGATTTCTAGTTTAATGTCACGTGGCCATTAATAAGGAAATCAGTTGTCATGGGGACAGTTGCTGTGCATCTGTCGCCACGCTGGAGGGAATTATAATGGAGTTTCTTGAAGAGGGACGGTAAGAAKAACACAATCCACTCGTCTATGGATGCACTTCGCCTCTGTCATACTCATAGGTTTTAGGTAGCTTTTATCGATATTCTCTTTCGTAAAGAGTAGCTGCGTTAAATGTTAGCATCGTAAAAGCGACAGCGTATTTTTAACTTTGTACACTGTAAATTTAATTCTGTACAAAGCGTTGTCCTAGGATAGTCGCATTTTCTTATATATCTCTGTATACAGTCGTTGCATTATCAAGGCGTGGCTGAGGAGTCGTGCAAATTAGTATTTCCCATCCCATTACCACAGGGTATGCAGCGCCTCCTCACTGCAGTGCGCATTCACCACAGGGTATGCGCGCCTCCTCACTGCAGTGCGTGTTACCGCATGGTATGCATGCGCATCCTCAGTGCAGTGCGCATTCACCACAGAGTATGCGTGCGCATCCTCATTGCAGATACAATACTGCAAGAGCARAGGATATAAGCCTTCCTTATTATCTTTTTTCTTCTTTTTTTTCTTACTTTTGAACAGGCCGGTTTACGTCTTAGTCGTTCAGCTTATATACGACATAAGCTTCCTGCTCTATTTAAATGAAACGAATATACCTATAATGTAAAAAGTTAAGTTAATGATGCAAGTAAATTAGCCTGTCAAAACTGAGAAAAAGGACACATGTATAAATTTTGTTTTTTAAAAAGTTTTTAACGATTTTTGCATCAGTAAATGATTTCTTCTCAATGAAAAAATTCTTGTAGCCTCGCTCTAAGCGGGAAAAATGCGCCTCAAAAACAAAACAAAACAAAAACACGAAATTTGAGTGATTGTATCGCGTATAAATAGTTTTAATATTCCAGTCATATAAAATAACGATTTGTTGATGCTTTGCTATAGTTTTAGTTTGTTCCTTAGATATATATGTTGAAGTATATATGTTGAAGTGTTTTAATACCATTATAACCAAAGTAGTATAGTTTGTTCGAAAAATTCTACCAGGGCCCTCTCGATTTTCAAGACCGTAGATTGGTTTAAATCCCTGGGTTTGAGGTCCAAACGTCAATCAAACTTACAGGAACCAGTCATGATGCTTTACGCCAACTAGACTTAGTTTTAAAATATAAAGCAAAAGAAAAAAATATTTTGATTGAACACTGTTGATTCTTAAATACGTGACAGCTGTCAGTCAAATATTGTGACGTCATGCGGTTGCTTGTCTTCGATTGGCTGATTAAAAATCTGATAGATGACCTAATAAGGTGTATATTTTAACGTTCTTAATATTAGGATAATATTTTTATAAGAATTTTTAATTGATTAATTAATCTTAATTAATTAATTAAATTTTAAAAATCCAAATTTGCAGACGATAAGATTTAAAGTGTAGCGAATAAATATTGGTTCATATGATGAGTGTGTGGTGCTGTATTTATTTAGGGGGGAGGGGTGGGGTGGGGGAGGGCAATAAGAATAGCTGACAAGGATCGTCATCAACCAAGCAAGAGGAGAGGATAACGCAATAAAAGAAGGAGTGTTCTCTGTGGGTGTGTTGTTTTGAGTGTCTGCTCAAACTATGGATTGGGTGGCTAGCCATGCTTCCCCCAGGAGCACGCCGAAATGATTCGATATTTTTATATAATTTGTATAGAGTGGTTTTAATAAAACCATGAAACAAAGTGTACTAATTAGAGTGTAATAGTTGGATAAACACAATAGAAAACGAAAGAATGAAGTAGTGCTAAGTAAGCTAAAGATTTCCTGGATTTTTGAAAACCACTCTAAATGATTATTGTGACAGGTACTCCCTACTGTGTCTTCTGACATACGCTAGGCTAGAGTTATGATGTACGACTTAAATCGTTGTCAAGACCACCCGCAGGAGACCTTTATGCAGCAGATCAGATGGCAGATGTTTCCTTCTCAAATAAAGAACGCTAGCGTTGTATCTGTTTGTTTTTTTTTGGCATCGTTAGTGACTGATTGAATAAAAAAGTGAAAGTTACTGTCACAAATCCATGTGGCTGGGGCTTTAAAGGAAACAATAATTTGCACAACTGATTGCTACTGTGGTTGCCGGTTTTTCTTATCTCCCTATTGTATTTCCTAATGTTTTTATCTGTAATGATTCTTCAATGTGGTGTCTGTGGTTTTTAATGTTTCGCTGTTGTTTTTTGTTTGTTTTTTTGGTTTTGTTTGTTTTGTTTTTTTGCGGGCTTTCTTTGGGTCCCAATTTCATGTCTTTTTTTTCGTGAAAGTGAACGATTTTTCATCCTATTTTGCTGCTTTTCATTCCCGTTTCTAAATATTTGAATTTCTCATTAAAATATCAATCAATTATCGTCGATTGAGGTTCGCGGTTTTTGGCAATCTTTTATGACTTGCTCTGACTTTTCCTTGACCTCCATTCGACTGAGCTTTAAATATATCTGTCAAAACAGTGCAAAGCAACACGCACATTGTAAAGAAGGAATTAAGATTTCCTGGAAGCAAACTAAGGATTTAACTCACAGCTCGGCTTGGGGAATGCCGGACCACGAACAAAAAGACTAAATCTCTGGTGAGACGCTTTTCTTTTCTTTTTAAACCTGAGTCATATTTTTTCATTTTTAATCCAATTCCAAGCTAAGCATAGTTATATATATATTTAGGAGTTTAGACAATGGGAGTTGATAACCTTCGATGGCATTGATCTGGTTCTCTATCTCTTCTCGTAGCAATTTTGCTTRTTGTTTTGCCTTTGATTGCAAATCTACCTTCAGCGAAGTCTGGTAGGTTTGCCAAGATCAGGAAAATAGAAATTCTGAAGTTGACATGTGGTTTCAGCTTTAGTAAAAAAAAAGAAATGTCGCTTTGGTATTTTCATTATTCAATATTGCACTTATATTCAAAGTCATTAGAGTGCATACAATATATCCGGGAAAAAGTTAACTAACAAAGTTGTACAAATTATTGCAAAATTTTGTAGGTCTACGGTCTACTGAGGTGTACTGAATTGGCTAATTGTGCAATTTGTTACAACCTCTCCGCAGCAAATACTGGGTTCTCAAAATCATTATTTTCTTATTTAAGGCCGAGAGTCTGTCATAAGTGACACAGGTAACCCAATACAGAAGTCTACTGACACAAGGTGTACAAAATCCTTCCAACATCCATATAGCCTGTTTTTGCAGAGGAAGGAAAAACTGAAGTAAAGCTCTCAAATCAATGGAAAAAAACCGACAAACTTTCAAATCCAGGAATCAGAGACACCAAGATAGACAAAGGAACCCCACCATGTAACTTTCAATGTGTTAGATGACCTAATAATAAGGTTAGTTATTTTCAGACGATAAGATTCAAAGTGTAAGGAATAAAATCTGGTTCATATGAGTGTGTGGTGCTGTATTTGTTTAGGGGGGAGGGGTGGGGAGGGGTGGGGTGGAGGACGAAAATAGCTGACAAGGGCCATTTTCAAAGCATAGGACAGGGAGAATCGTAGACCACCCGTAGGATTATGCAGCAGATCAGATGGGAGTCGTTTTCTTCTGAAATTAAAAAATACTAGCGTTCTATCTGTTTTTTTGTTGTTGTTGTTTTTTTTTTTGGCATCGTTAGTGACTGATTGAATAAAAAAGTGAAAGTTACTGTCAC